ACAATCTCTCCATTAGGCCAAGCCGCCCTTATCTTTTTCTTTCTAGCCAATATATACCGATTGGCCAGTTTAATTGGTCATAATTAAGTCAATACTCAATAGCAAGTTTTTGTTTTTTTTTTTGCAATTATAGTCCCTATAAATTTAAGTAACGACAATGCCTCGACTTGTTTCTTGTTGAGTTGGTCTTTGGAATTATTCTTCTTTGTTTTTAAGTATGGATCCAAGATTAATGTAATTAATTGTTAGAAAAAAGATAATTATTATGAGATAAACAGAAAGTGAAGTACAAACTGTTATTACATGTTAATTTGTTAAAGTAAATTAAAAATTAATGAGTTAAAGATGCCACATTTGAATTAGGGTTGATCTTATAGGGTTAGTTACATTAAATCCAAACCAACCCCAACTATCAACCACCATCATCAGACATAAAATGATCACATATATTAAGCTTTGTTCTTTACCATCGAGATGATTATCATATAGTAGCTTCATTTAACGTTTGCAACGGCCTTGATTAGAAAGTAAATAAATGATTAATTTATACGGTTCTTCTCATTAAAACTTGAAATATTTATAACAGTCTAAGTCAATTATTTTGTATCCAATGGTGGACTGTTTAAGTCAATTAGTTTGTATCCTAGCTTGGACTCACTGTCTAAGTAGATTATTGTGTTTTTTCTTTCTACGCCAACAATTTACTTGGTGATGATTAAGTCAATAGACTCAATACTCGTAAACTTACATAATTCTTATATTTCCTATAAAATTAGTTAATTTCCTACTTGAGTTGGTTCTTACACTTATTTTTTCCCTTGTTTGTGAGTATGGATTCAAGATTGCTTTTGATTACTCAATCGGGTAGTGTCGATGCTTTATATTCTCTTATTCAAAAGAATCCATGTATTCTTCAAAACGCAGATGTTTTACCTATCATGCACACACCTCTCCATGAAGCTTCAAGTATGGGGATGATAGATATGGCGATGGAACTGATGGTTCTTAAACCATCTTTTGCCAAGAAATTAAACTCAGATGGGTTTAGTCCTTTGCATCTCGCTATCGAAAACCGCCAAACTGAATTAGCACTAGAGCTAGTTAAGTTTGATCCGAGTCTTGTTCGTATTCATGGAAGAGGAGGTATATTTGCTTCAATTAAAATCTTAATTTTTTGTATTGTCTCGAATATTTTTCTATTAGGTTAACAAAATATATGTAAAACATATAATGACACAGGTATGACACCATTGCATCTTGTGGCGAAAAACGATGACGTAGATCTTCTTACAGAGTTTCTTCTGCTATGTCCTGATAGCATTAGAGATGTGAATGTAAATGGCGAAACCGCATTACACATCACGGTAATAAACGATAGATACGAGGAGCTCAAAGTTCTAAGAGGGTGGTTGCAATTAATGCGCAATAATCATGCTTCATCCACCGAGAATCACGTCCTGAACAAACGTGACCGTCAAGGCAACACGGCCTTGCACCTAGCCGCATACAAAAATAATCACCAGGCATGTTCTTAATTAACCTTTTTCTGATGAATTTTTTATCCTAATTATTTAAATGGTTGATCCTCAATGATTTGATCCACAATCACTGTTAAGCCTAATACTAACTTAATTCATTATTATACCAACCTACATTTGGTATATTATGTTTTTTACCACACTTGGAACTTACAACTTTTACATAAAATACGAGCTGAGTGAAACTCCTTTAAATTCACACACACACGTTCATCCTTTATATCATTTGTGTTCGAGTTGTCAAAAGAGTAGTTTTTCTTATGCTAAGAATTGTGTAATATATAGTGTACATTTTTTTTGGGTTTTAATGTTAAGAAGTGTCTAATATATAAAGTTATGGTGAAACATGTATACAGTCAGTAAAACAGTTGTTGAAATGCATGTCACTGAACCGGAATATCCTGAACAAGAGTGGTATGACAGCTCTTGATGTCTTGCGAGCCAATGGACAGAGCATAGAAACAGAGAAGATTGTACAAAAAGCGGGTGGAAAGATCGCGGCTTCTCTATCCCAAGTTGAGAAAAAATCGGTCTTCCTGAGAAAACAGGTCACTTTCAAGGAATATTGCTCCACGAGAATGGCACGTTTCAGAAGTGGCGTGTCAGACGGAACACGGAACGCTCTTCTAGTAATAACGGCTCTGATTATCACAGCTACTTATCAGACCGCAGCCCAACCGCAAGAAAAAAAAGAACTTCACGATCTCACAATTAGCGATCTCAAACAAATCATACTGGAGATTGTACTACTTTGGGGATTTAATACTGCAGCCTTTTTCTTGGCTATTGCCTTGACATTTATACTCTTACCAGTTGGTAGAGTATATACTTGGTGGTTTATCGCCATCGCCGGGCCTCTAATGTGTTCTTATACACTTTCAGTGTATATGAAGTATAGTTGCCCAGTGATATTCAAATTCGCATATCTGATGGTTTTCTCCGGATTTGTCATATATCTACTTGTATTCTACATGAGGTGGAAGCGGACTACGCAGAAGAAAGTGCCAAATCCCAAAACTGAGCTCCTTTCCGGAGGCTTGAACACTAAGGTTTAGCCATATGAAGCATTTTGTAGATTGTTTGTTCCATGTACAACTTTGATTCTTGTAAGCATATTCCATAGCTTTGTAACTGCACTCATTTTGTAAAATACTCTGTCAAGATTGTATCTTCTGAATAAATCACCTGTTTAAGGATCATCCTAAGCTTACTAAAGGAAGCAAAAAGGTGTTTTATCTTGTAGCAATTTTACACTTTACCTTAAAAGATACTCAATACATCCATCAAATACATAGGTGCTAGGTCCATTAGTCTAACAAAGAATCAAAAGTGCAGTGAAGAAGAAAGAAGTGAGATACTAAGAGAAGAAGAAAGAAGTGAGATACTAAGATGCTGAGGCAACTGCAACTTGGGTTGTTTCTTTCTCCTTTGCCTCCTTAAGCTGCTTCCACTTCTCAATGGTGTCAAGAAGTTCCCCTGTTTTGATCAGATATCTTACCTTCTGTCCATCATCAAGGACCTTGTGACCCACCCGGCTTACCACATCCTTATCTTTCGAATACAACATCACATTTGAGCTGTGGATCGGTGCTTCGATCTGGAACATGTAATATATTTTACTCAATCTTCAATCATCACTCGAATTTCGCCAAAGAAAAAGTGAAGGGGAGCTACAAAATATGGTTTCTGTTTTGCAAATCCACGAAAGAGAGAGAGTAATTCGAGTGGACTGACCTTAACAATTTGGCCAGGCTCTCCCTCTTCTCGGCTCTTCATGTGTTTGGTCTTGAGGTTCACATCTTTGATCACTATGGTGCTGTTGTGGGTAAAGATCTTAGTGACTTCTCCAATTTTACCCTTGTCTCGTCCAGATATTACTTTGACCGTATCTCCAAACTTGACATGCATTTTGTGCAGAATTGGAAGACTGTTTGGTTTGCACTTTTTTCGTTCCCAACGCTTAAGCTGAAAGG